GGAGCCCAACAGAGTAGGATTCCTCTGCCAGCCGCAGGATTTGAACCAGCAACTTTCCAGCCACGAGTGCAGATCCTGAGCCACAGAGCCACCTCTGCCCATGTGTGTGGGGAGTATGGGGAAGAAGTGTGTCACAGGACAGATGCTTGAGTGCCTGGTGATTAAGAGACATAGGGTGAAGAATACATCTAGTACTCTTCTGCTCTCCGTACTCTTCTACTGCATTACTCTTAGTGTCTCTGTTCTCCACTCTACTATTGTTACTGTCTACAGATCCCCTCTGGATGCATTTTAGGCGGGTTTGTCGATTTACTTTCTTTTTTATGTCTCAGATTTAAGAGGATTCTCATTCTTGGTATCGTTTATATCCATATTGATCCGTGGTCTTCCAGTTTTGCGATGGATTTTCTAGCTTTGTTGGAATGCTTTGATCTAACCCAGTTTGTTCTTAGCCCAACTCATAACAAAGGATACACCCTGGATTCAGGAATTTCTAAATACTGTAGCTCTTTTGTTTTTCACTTCTCTCATCTTGGACTACAGGTGAGGCCTTTCTGACCATGTTCTTTTGAATCTGGGTTTTCCAGTTTCACACACTGTAGTACTAAGCTTGCACCTGGTACTCATTGAAGAGTTAAGCTGAAGGGCTTGAGAAACTGGATGTAAACAGTATGTGCAGAAGCTCTAGCGTTAACTGAGCTGTCAGAAGAGCAAAGTAAAAAGCAACTGAAAAGGACAAAGACTGTGCTGTCTTCCTGAGTTGGGTAGATCTACAGTTAGTGTGTTAGATATCGAATCGCGGAGGGGATCTGAAGCAATATATTAGAACCTCAAGAAACAAGGGATCCGCAGGCAGAGTTGGTCCTTTAGTGCCAAATGTGCTGGTATCATCACAGCCTTTGAATAGTCTTGGCTCCGGCTCAAGCTAGTGTTTTCTTGCGAAACCGAATCACATGGCTAAGAAGTGCAAGGTCTTACACTCGTGCCCTGGCTTTCGAGAGGTGCTGAACGAAGACGGGAAGGCAGGAGTGATGAATGAGGCTTAGCATCCACACAGAGCCAAAACAGATCCAGCTGGAGCAGCGTTTCTCAGATTAAATCATTAAACGAACAAATGCTACTGCTGGTGACGACTGCTTATCCTGTTCTTACCCTCAAAGCCTTTCATCGCTGATTCATGTTTGATTTTCTGGGGATCTGTGATGTTGGCGTGACCGACTACCTAGCATGAGGAGTCCGTCAAATAATAAAAAAACATCTGAAAATGATCAAAATAAGTGCGGATGTAAAAAGGGAAAACCCCCAAAAATGTGCAAATAAAAAAACCAGCATACCAGACGAAACCTAACCAATTATCACACCCAAAGAAGGCTCCACAGCAGAAACATTGTGTTCTTCTCTTTTCAGTATGGAATAAACCTTTATCTGTTCCATTAGAGCTACACCATCTAGGCCAGGATATACAGTATAGGTCCCACTCCTGGTCCTCTTGATGGACAGGTGAAGCTCCAGTTTAAGAGGTGGGTTAACAGGCTCTGTAACCTGATACAAGATGATGGA